TGAATGGAAGGAGAACTAATTTCGAATGGTATTCACATAATTTTCTAAAGAAATCAATTATTTCGGTGGGTACATGATAATTTTTTTTCATTACATCACTCTCAAACTTGTGTTTGCTTTAGCATCATGAAAGATTTCTTCAACTTGTTCCATTTCTATGAGTTGAGATATGTTACTAGGGCATGTTTACTGTGATATTTATTTAGATATCAAAATTGAGGACATCTTGAACATATTGTGATGAAATACGTAGCCAATGTCATTCAGAGCTTGACTGAATATCTTCTTAGTTATGCCTGCTGGTTAGCAGTTAATTCGTAATCGAAACAATTTTCAAATGTTTTTCAACTTATTTTGAATACGTTGAAAGTTACGAATAATATTTAAAGTTTCGTTCATAACGAAAAGTATCTCGTATAGAAGCTATGTAATCTTCTGTTTAAAAGCAGGAAACAATGAAAGTGTCTCTTTGAATCACAGCTTTGGATGAAGGCCTTCTTGACCTAAAAATGAAAGTAACCTTTTGATTACAAATGCAGTTGAACAGATAAACTCGCGGTGGTCATTTAATATTGCTTTTCTTACACTCATTTTCATTCACTCAGTTTTGATTATGTCGGTTGTGATAATTTAGTTGCAAGACAATCCAGAAAACTCTCAGCTCACAGCGATGATGTACAACTTCTGGCAACATTGTACTTAAGGCCGCTCTCAGACGGTGCGCGGTGAACTCGCGTCCTCGCCTAGATGCAAGCTGTGAATATCAATATCCGCGGACACAGAGAGTCGCCCGCAGGTCTCACTCACTCTCTCTGAAAGTGACCTAAACCCTGTTGACAAAGGCAATGTAGTTCCATGTGAAAAACCTTAACTATTGCGGCATTATCAATTGTCACAAAAAGTAATAATATGTCAAGAAATACATTTTTTCAGAAAATTGTTTTTTCAATGACCAGTTTTTCGAATTGAAATTGTTTTTATGAAAAAAATGTTATTTGTTTTGTTACTTATAATGTTATTTTGAGGTTCGTATTTGATGATTACTCATGGTCATCCCTAAAAGAAACAATCTAAGGTGTACCGCAGGGAAGTATTTTAGGACCCTTGATGTTTTCAGTGTTTATTTTTGATTATCCCACTTTCTTATCACATTGTCAAGAACATCTATACCCACATGATATACAGTTATATTTGTCTTCTCACAACACCGATACAGAAAGTTACGTGGCCAATATAAACACAGATTTACACAAAACATTCCTATATTCGGAGAATCATGGACTGAGAATCAATCCGAATAAAACTTTGGTCTTATGCATAGGGTCTCAAAGACAAATAGTATAGAAACTCAGTGTAGCTTTAGGCTCACTCTCGATAACGCAGACATTGACTGGGTAGATTAGACAGTGCTAAAAATATTGGCGTGGCCATAGATAGCTCTTTGTCTTTCCATGAACATGTGATAAACATTTTCAAAGTATTATTCGAGTATCAATATTGACTATTTTGAACGTATGAACAAGAGTTTTTCACTATATGTTTGTTCCATCATCAACGGTAGAATTAATGTGGTCAAATTAAGTTTTCTCTGAACAGAACAAGTTTTCTCTGAACAGAACATGGAAAATTAACCGAAACAGCTGCGCACCTTTCTCACAGTTCTCTAAGCCAGCAGCTGTTCTTTCGCGCCAAACTAGGTATGCATAGGAACACGAATGATCGAAGAGTGTAAACTATTTTTCGGGTTTATTGGTCGTGATCTGTAGGTTTTCATGCTCGTCGTTCCGTCTACTACAACAATAGTCATTATTAAATACCATGAGGCCACAAAGTACTATAGTTGCCCTCCTCGTTTATTCCATCTTTTGTGGTAATGTCTTCATTCTTATTGGTTGCATGAATTGGTCTGATACGTGTACAGTTTACTGCAGGTAACCTGACTTCTGGTTGAAATTGTCTCTGTGCTCCCTACATCGTCTTGAATCGTTGCTCTTTTTCATTGAGCACTGCTGTTTTGTCGGTCTGCTCAAGGCGAAAATTTCCCGTGTGCTCAGAGAGCTGTGTATTTATACTTTTTCTCGTATTTCTCATATAATCAACCACATAGAGGGTCTTCAGCAACATCTGGATAGAACGATGAAAAAGAGTGAAAAAACCGAGCTCTCTGGATATAAGAATTAAAGTTTCAAGCGAGATCATGAATAAAGTATAGCTACCTGCACTAAATTATACGCATAACAGGTGACTTAATACAACCAATAGAATTAAAGCCACGCGCGCATCATCATCGATGGAGTAAAATCAAAAATCCTAACCTGTGTACCTAGGGATATAACTCATTGTCTCATCGCCTTTGATAATCTTCATCTGCAGACCATGGTCAACAAACCCAGAAATAGCCTATATAGGATCTTCCATTAAGCGCTTCCTATCTTCAAATTTGAACAAAACGAAGTGTGTGTGACTCATCATTGAAATATTTTATTCGTTTGAAAGACTCAGTGATGCCATTATCAGTAAAATATAACATTGTTCAAATGTCCGCCACCCTTTTCTGGGTGGAGCGCATCCGAAACGTCCAATTTTCCATGACTCTGGAGCATACACCGGGAAAAATGATTGAAATCTACCTCGGAATTTTCATTTCGAACGAAGAAAATTACTTCAGTTTTATTGAAAATATACTCTCTCTATTGAATAATTCACATCCCCGACCGTAATTTCAGTAGGCAATGTACTTTTCATTGAGAATTAAATATTCATCTAAAAATTAATCGAAACAGCTGCGCACCTTTCTCACAGTTCTCTAAGCCAGCAGCTGTTCTTTCGCGCCAAGCTAGGTATGCATAGGAATACGAATGATCGAAGAGTGTGAACTATTTTTCGGGTTTATTGGTCGTGATCTGTAGGTTTTCATGCTCGTCGTTCCGTCTACTACAACAATAGTCATTATTAAATATCATGAGGCCACAAAGTACTATAGTTGCCCTCCTCGTTTATTCCATCTTTCGTGGTAATGTCTTCATTCTTATTGGTTGGATGAATTGGTCTGATACGTGTACAGTTTACTGCAGGTAATCTGACTTCTGGTTGAAATTGTCTTTGTGCCCCTACATCATCTTGAAGCGTTGCTCTGTTTCATTGAGCACTACTGTTTTGTCGGTCTGCTCAAGGCGACAATTTCTCGTGTGCTCAGAGAGCTGTGTATTTACACTTCTTCTCGTATTTCTCATATAAACAACCACATAGAGGGTCTTCAGCTACATCTGGATAAAACGATGAAAAAGAGTGAAAAAACCGAGCTCTCTGGATATAAGAATTAAAGTTTCAAGCGAGATCATGAATAAAGTATAGCCACCTGCACTAAATTATACGCATAACAGGTGACTTAATACAACCAATAGAATTAAAGCCACGCGCGCATCATCATCGATGGAGTAAAACCGAAAATCCTAACCTGTGTACCTATGGATATAACTCATTGTCTCATCACCTTTGATAATCTTCATCTGCAGACCATGGTCAACAAACCCAGAAATAGCTTATATAGGATCTTCCTATATAGGAGCTTCCTATCTTCAAATTTGAACAAAACGAAATGTGTGACTCATCATTGAAATGTTTTATTCGTTTGAAAGTCTCATTGATACCATTTTCTGTAAAATATAACATTGTTCAAATGTCCGCCACCCTTTTCTGGGTGGAGCGCATCCGAAACGTCCAATTTTCCATGACTCTGGTGCATAAATCAGGCTGAACTTGACCGATGGCATGGGTTATATTGACTTCTAGGACCGCTGTGTTTTGTGGCTTATTCGCATACACCTGCGACTCAAGAAAACCCCACAAGAAAAAGTCTAACGGGGTCAAATCGCACGATCTCGGTGGCCAGTTAACATTACCTTCACGTGAGATGATCATATCTCAAATCGCTCGTGCAGAATATCCAATGTGGCATGAGCTGTGTAGAACGAAGCGCATTGGTGTCCAGATCATCCAATTCAGGTCAAAAGAAGTTGGTAATCATTGCCCTAGGGTGATAGCCGTTGACAGGGATGGCCTGGTCAACGTCGTTCACAAAGAAATATGGACCGATGACGCCGCCAACCCAAAATCCAAACCAAACAATGACTTTTTCTGGATGCAATGGACGCTTTTGGATCTCATGTGGATTAGTATCGTCCCAAATTTGACTATTTTGTTTGTTCACGCACCCATTCATCCAAAAATGGGCCTCACCCCTTCAGAGCCCATTCAGCGAACACACGCCGCTGTCTATGGTCGTTTACCTTCAGTTCCTGGGGAAGTTGAATATTGTGCAGGCCAGTAGGCCAGTCACGATGCAAAATTCGCCAAGTTGTGGTCTGCGAAAGACCGAGTTCTTGTGAGTGACGCGAAATCGACTGCCAAAGATTCCCCTGCACACTCTCACAGAAAGCAGCGATGTTTTCGGCAGATTTTTCGTTTCGTCGATGTGCGAGTGTTGGTCGATCGTTTACTGAACCAGTGGACGCAAATTCATCTCACAAATTGCGAATAGGACGGTAGGACGATTATGACGACCGTGAAATGGGCGAATAAATGGTACGTTGCTCGAACAGAACATGTTGTTGAATGATATAGCCGTCCATGGAGATTTGGCAAAACAGACTGAATAATGACAACTAATTTGACAGATTTAGCTTCAACAAAATGGGCGTTATCAATTGTCAAAGTTCAGAAGTCCCTATTGGGAGACCCTATATATACAATTATCTCCGTTTGTTTGAGTACCTGCTTCTCCTTGTCAGCTGCAAAATATTGATCAGGAAATACGTAAAATTACTATACCTTCTACTGCCACATACAACATTTGAACGAACATTTTTACATTTTCCAACAATTTGATTTTGAACCAAATAAAAACTCATGTCCACATGCAATACTGCAAAATATTCATTCACTCTTCGGAGTGACTGTGAAAGTGAACGTGTCATCTTTCAAACTTATGTTTCTTTCAGCATCTTGGAGGACACGACGTCATCTCCAGTGCCGAGCAACCACTACGCCACTTGCCTCTCCCCTTCGAATACTCCCTCGCCCTTGCTGCCACCGCAGTACCGGTACGAGTACCAGGAGGAAATGCTGCCAGCCTCTCAGGTGTTACCTCAGGTGTTGCAGAAAACCCAGCAGGAGATCTGGTCAATGGCCGAACCGGTATATGACTATAGACCATATGACGGGAACAGATTTAGTGCGAATGACTACCTTCGGCAAAGTTACTCAGAAACTATACCAGTGTACGCTCACCAGAGGACTAGTTTTGTGCCAAAAATAGGCGGACAGGGACAGAAAGTGACGAAGGAAGCAAGGATACGACGGCCAATGAACGCCTTCATGGTGTGGGCAAAAGTGGAAAGGAAAAAGTTAGCTGACGAAAATCCTGATCTCCATAATGCTGATCTGAGTAAAATGCTAGGTGAGTTCGACTCTTTGATTACTTTCTATAATGGATTCTTTAATATGTAAGTGGAATAAGTCGACTAAATGCCTAGAAAACATCAATCATCAGAATAAAGGATGATTTTGTGTTATATTGTTCAGGCCAGTCTCAACTCCGTACACTATAAGTTAATGAACTGACACCTATCAAAAAACAACTACTCCCCTGGCTGATACCACGAAGGGCGTTGGATCAGGCTAAATCCGGGATAGATGCCCTACTTTTTGAAATAATCACCTAATTTCAAAAATATTAATTTTATACGAATAATTTCAATAATGTAGCTAGCTCAATCCTTTATGTTGAATTATTATTATTATTTTTCAACCTATCAAATACAAATTTTGCAAAAATCAGCTTTTCATAGAACATTTTTTTTGAGGATAGATTCTTACCTGTATGGATAGTTGCCCCACCATGAAAATAGTGAGAAGAATAGATAATACCATTCATACCGTGTAGGTAAACAAAAACCGAAACCAAATGTTAGGTAGTTTCACTCCTGAAACAACAATTGTCTCTAAAAAACATGAGTCATATAATTATAAAATTCAATAAAACTTCTAAACCATGCACTTTCAGCCATTTCGTTTTCGTGGTCGAAATTGTGTTTCAGCTCCAGCTTTGCAACAAATTGATAAGCTAACATGCGTATGGCTTGTCTATTTGCGGGAAATCCTACATCACCAAGCTTGAGAATGTGCTTTACTAGCCTTTTCTAGTTGTCAAAATCCAAAATAGAATGTTTTCCTAAAAAAACTCTTACCTTAATGGATATGTTGGAAACTAGAAACAGCAATTTGTTACTTTTGATACACTGTTTGGAGTTTTATACCAACACCAAATCGTTATTGTTAACATCCCCACACGTGTTTCGATCACCAAGTGATCATCTTCAAGAGGAAGACACAACTGTAGTTTAGTATTCCTCTTGAAGATGATCACTTGGTGATCTAAAGCCTAAACTGTAGTTTAGTCTTCCTCTTGAAGATGATCACTTGGTGATCGAAACACGTGTCGAGGTGTTAAAAATATCGGTTTGGTGTTGGAATAAAACTCCAGTAATATACAACAATTGTGTAACTGAATGTTTGTAATATCCTGTAGTACATGATCTTTGATACATACCCAGGGTTAACTTTGTTGTATTTCTAGCAGCATGTCGTCTTCGCAATGTTCTCGATGTAATCCCAAATTGTAGGGATATTTCGTTTATTCCCATGGTTTTCTTGTTCATTTCATCGAAAGCTGACTGTAGTAGGTTTTCTGTGGTCCACGAACATATTCGAGCTCGCAATCCTTCCTTTCTTTCATAATTTCGTGGCATGGTTCTGCTGTAATCATAAATTGCAGTGTATGGAGGGATAGATGCCCGTAAGGGGACCTATATACCTCGAAAAATCAGGGTAACTATCCTTCCTGATAGGGATAGATTCCCAAGTATTTTTTTAAATAAATTATAAAAATCGCCCCATCTGCCTGTGACATCTGTGATGACAAATATGTTGTTTGTTGTCCGCTTCAGCCTAGTTCAATGACACTCTGAAGGAATTCAATTTTCAATTATCGGAAATCATCGACTTTATGTTGATGATAGTCACTACCTTGCACTGACGAGTGGCCAAACAGCCTGAAAGCGGTCTGCAAGTATGTCGGTCTGCCGTCTGTCGGATATAATCCAACGCCCTCCGTGGTATAAGCCAGGGGAGTAGTTGTTTTTTGACAGGTGTCAGTCCATTAACCTACAGTGTAGGAAGTTGAGACTGGCCTAACAAATTGTTCCTTCATATGATTAGATCAAGTTTTCTTCATGTCCTGAAGACACCCACTTTGTAAGTGAAATGCGCGTTAAAAAATGGTATTAAAGTGATTGGAAAAAATGCTTCAACAGTTGTCATGCTGCCTTTGGGAACCGTCTGGCTTATCCATTTCTTCCAGATTTCCGGGAAACACTGAGTCTTCACGAACGTTTCTTCCTCTTTTGGATATTTGTCATACCTACCTATTCTTCTAGACAGAGTTTGAGTTTTCCATAAATTGCTTGCCTTCTGTGATCCACTGCCACACATCCACATAAAACATTCAACCAGTAACTAAATATATAATTACATGGAAAGATAAAAACTATTAAACACCATCCAATCAATTCCAAGCGGTCTTGATAATATCAAGCCAGGTGGTTACATAAATACCGGTAATGGCAAAAGAAAAAACCTAACTTCCCAAACCCGTACACACGATAACAAATAACGAAGTCTACAGCCATTTTCTACATCAGATGACCTCAAAACGAAATAAACGAGAATAATTGGAGGCCGGCTTTGATTGGTTCGGTGCGGGACAGTTAAAAGCCGCCGTCCAATGAGCGCATCGAGGGCAGGCCGATCGCCGCAGTCTCCGAAACCCCATTAATCCCTGCCTAATGAGATGCACAAATCTCGCTTACTCTTGCGAGCACCGAGCAATAATCTCTGCACCGTTGCCGCGTTTCATCTATAACGTTGATCCCGTGTCTACACTGAATACTTTTTTGATGCCTGACACTGTCGTGCTTATATACGTCAACCATATACACCCATGGTTTGAAATTATTAAAATACATTTATATACAAAACAAAAATTGGACAAAAAAAATAAAAATTGCAAGGATGTTATCTGATGGTTCAGTACTATAACACTGATGGTATAGAAGAAACAACTTCATCTAACAAGCACTCTTCAATACTATATTGTGCGTTTTGGATAGGAGATTTTTTTTACTATCCATAGAAGAAACCTCTTAGTGGGGGTACATAATCTGACAGATGAAAAGATGGTTCTCATTGAAGAATATTGGACCGTAATAATTAGATTTTCCTCAACAAACTATATTGTACAAGAATATTATGCGAATGAGTAAAGAATCATACGTGATTAGATTCATCTTTATATATTTGAGACATTCGTAAATGTAATCTGATGAAACAGGTGAGATTTATGAAGATCAGTGAAACTTATCTCTTCAAATTACAAGTAGTCTCTAGAATCTAGGGTTTAGATGTTCCAATGATCTGAGAGGTAGTAGGTAGGTAGAAAATGTGACAATGTTATGATTCAATATTTTTTTATACACCTACATACATAGCTACGAACTTCGTCTCTTGGTTGATATATTCTGTTTCACCCAATAAAGACCGCCAAGTGAAAGTGTCTAACGAAATAGTAAGGGAAGCACTAAAGTTAAATATAGTTAAAACGAAAATTCTGATAAAGATTTCGACAGAAGAATTGAATTTTGTTGAACAATGACGGATTTCATGAATGAAAAGAGAAAGAATAATCGTCTTCTTGAAGAGGATCACTTGGTGATTGAAACACGTTTCGAGATGTTGAAAATAACGGTTTGGTGTTGGACTAAAACCTCAGTAATATATATTCATTACTACACCAAAAGTTCCAAACAGTAGGTATACATCACAAGTACATTTTGCATAATATTTATTTTACTGGCGCGTATACGTTTTTTATTGTTTTGAATATCTTGAAAAATATCAATTATACATAGATATTCTTATCATAAACTTCCACTTCATATCCGGCGCCAAGCATCAATGACGTTCAGAGTTAGCGTTTATGAAAATAACGAGACCTTGGGATCCCATGTTCCATGGTTGAATACATTGCGTGAAAGGTGATCAACATCTTTCGAGGGTGAGTAAGTGTGTAAATTCCGAAAAATACAGTAAAATAACAAATTGTTCATCACAATTCATACTCAGTTGGGTACCAAGTTATTTTTGTATCTAATGCTGGAACGACTTTTGATCAGATAATTTGGGGCATTCTGTGTTTAACAAATAACCAAATTCGATTGTGATTTTTCATGTTAGAGTAACCATCTTCATCTGCATGATTCATTTGTCAGCAATGTTCAAATTGTCATGACTTTCAAGGGCACAATTAGGTATAGTTTGAAGAGGGCGATACTGCGCATTTGGTGAAACTTCTGAATTTTTTATTTTCAGTATTAACCAACTTCAGACCACTACTAATATTAAACAACACTGATATGTATTTGAAATGTGACAGTAGCAGTGGTTTTATAGCGAAGGGTTGATAATTCATCTGGCCCCTAAGAATACTTATATCAATATTTTCAGTAAACATTTTGTAAATTAATGAATTTATGACAGTCTTTCTTAAATAATATAAGATTAGGCGATGAATTAGTTGGAGTAATGTTACTTACTTCACATCCAATCGAACTTTAATCATTAGATTCAGTAATATCCTGATATTATTGTTCCTATAAACACTGACTCCTATTGATTACTTATCGATATTTACCAAATTAGTGATATATTCATTTCGAAATATTTAGATTAGAAATTTCAAAAACGAGTGTTGCTAGTTCAATCTAGCCATATAGAATTGTGTAGTTAGGTAGAAATCTTGTTAGAGGAAATATACTTTTTCAATTTCACACAATATGTTTCTTTTTTTTTGGGATATGATGAAGCTTCTGAATCTTACGGTTTTATCACGGATTGCCATTGAGATCCTCGTTTATGTTTGATATTCACTGTTTGAGTTCCTACCGATTTCATGGTGAGGGTGATATTATCTGGAAGAGGCTTCCGTGTCGAGTTCAAACTATATTATTTGGTCCATATAGCCAGAACACACATCAATAAAGAAATTAACACATTTGTTAAATTAGCTTCTGAACACAGTCTGATGAATAATGCTAGCAAAAGCAGTATTTTAGTATTTGAATCTGATATTCATCGTGATATTTGCTCTGATATCAAAATTATAGTGGATTTTGATGAAATTCAGATGGTTGATGAAGCTGAAAATCTAGATATCATTCGACTCAAATTTCAGATACGATAAACATATAAGTAAATTATTACAAATTGACTATTCCACCTTGAAAAGTTGATCTTAGTCTTAGGTAGTCTTTTTTGCTGACTAGTTAGTAAATGAGTGAAACAATATTTGGGTGTAAAGCAGGCCAGAACAATGTACTCTTGTAACACAGTTT